AGAGAGAGAGAGAGAGAGAGAGAGAGAGAGAGAGAGAGAGAGAGAGAGAGAGAGAGAGAGAGAGAGAGAGAGAAAGTTGGAATGGCCTTTTGGACTGGCATGTTTGTGTTAATATGCCCCTGTCAGGTGCGTGTGCAAATTTTCTTGGCCTTCTGCAATTGCACCTACGAAAACTCGGTGACTGCCGGCCCATCTTGCGAAGTTGGGCAGCGTCCACTAGGGGTACATTGCAAAGATGGGGTCAAAGTGATGGGTGTGGTGTTTCGCAAAATGTTTTTGCCTTCGTCCTTCGCCGCAGCATAGCTGCGGTGGGTCCACTTGTTGTCTACTAAAGGAAGAAGGAAGATTGCTCCACCTGTCTTTGTCGATGATCTGCGTCTTTGTTTTCCATACGAATGCCCAAGGCTCAAACATTTCAAAGAGAACGAGTCCAGAATCACGTGACCTCCACTCCCACTTGTACCTGTCAGAATTCCAAAGCATACCCAAAACGTGGCCCAGACGGAACCCCAAATTTGCTCAAAAAATGACCAGAAACAGGCCCCCCACACAAACATGTCAGACCAGCTGGGGAAACAAGCCAAGGTTGTGATAACAAGTCTAATAAGCCATTCAGAGGGTCCAACAGAGAGGAAGACCTCTTTTTTTTTTTTTTTTTTTTACATTAAGCTCCGATTAATTTGAGAACAAAGATCACCTTCCTGCCTAGACAGAATTTTGCACCAACGATGCCTGCCAAGGAGGATCAGTTCTTCTGAAGATATGTTTTTTTGTTTGTTGGTTTTTGGTTCTTCTATGATGATATCTTCCATGGAAACAAAAAAGAAAGATGTAAGCTTGACCTTTTCTCCGGAGAGGTAAAAAAAAAAAACAAAAAAAAAACGTCAGCTGGACCATCACAGTCTAGACAATGTGCCACTTGGAGAACCTCTGGTGCCCTGGGGAAACATCACACTTTCCGGGATTTGTTTTTCCGAGCTATACATTGTAGGGATTGACGACCAGAAGCAGATAGTTGGGGTATGCCTATGCCCATGTTGGCACTAACTGACCATCAAGGGCCCAAATCATTTCTCCACTCGTTTTTTCCTTCACACACACACACACACACACACACAGAGAGAGAGAGAGAGAGAGAGAGAGAGAGAGAGAGAGAGAGAGAGAGAGAGAGAGAGA